GCCTTGTGTGTGTATTGTGCGTGTGTGCTTATGACCGTGTTTGTGTGGGCGCGCCGAGGCCGTGGGACCGGCGGGCCGCATTTCCTGCGCCTGCGGCGCTAGTTTTATGGCGCACAGCTGTGTGTGCACTGTGGACCGCCGGCCGGGCTCGGGCGCGCGGCGGCAGTTGGCGCCGCGACACGATGACGTAAGGAATACAGCGTGTGAGAGGTGGCTCGGTTTTCTACACACATTAATCCTATTTCGGACGGGGGAGGCCTTTCAGAATTTTCTTGCGCAATTGTCAAACGCCGCGAGACATTCAGCTCATATTTGGTGATTTTTCCTAAATGCTCATTGCGCACATCTCAGCAAAAAAAAAAAAAAAAATGACGGGTCAGGTCAGGTAACCAGAACGGGTTTGTTGGCTACACCTAAGAAAGGTTTGCAATCACGCCAGAGCTTAAGCTTTTTTACGGAGCTATTTCCTCTCATCAGGTCTTCAAAACAGTACCTCCAGTATGTGTCGTTTGTACCTATATCTCAGAAATTTTATCTGTGACAGGTCAGGTCAGAGTCGTGACCTTTACATTGCAAGCCTATGAAAAAATATTGAAATGCGACCTGCCTCGAGTAAACGAGTCAAAACTACCCAATTCTTTAAGAATTATGACAAATTATCTTATCTGTAGGTAATGATCCAGGTGCCATTTACTGACAGGGGCACCGGAGAGGGTTATCTGAGGGCGGGATCATGTGAGGTGATATCTACCATACATCAATGCTCACAATACTTACAATATAGACAATGCTTACAATACTGTTACAATACTTACGATGAGACAAGCAAGCACTCTGCCGTTACAGTTCTAACTTCTGTTTCGAAAACCAACGTTACACACATTCGCTGCCATCATAACATGTATTGTTTGACAGTAACAAAATATAATTGACATCTGAACCCCAAACGGGCCGCCATCCACTCAAATTTTATAACCCTGACCGGTCAGGGGGCGAACGGAGGTCATCTCCTGGGCATTACACTCACACTGGCGGATCCAGGCTTGCGTTTTGGGGGGGGCCAACTCATGCAGGAGCCAAACCTAGGGTACCCCCAAATCCTGTTTTCTCATCGGATTTAGGCCACTTATTTTTCGTCACAGCCCTGACACTATGAATATTTTTTTTTTACTAAAAATAAAAAATATATAAATGGTAGCCCACCCGACCCATGCCTTTATATTACTTTGTAAACACTTACCATTGCTTTTGTCGACCAGTTAACCCGCTTCGAGTCAGTGCTTGGGTCCCTTTGCGGGCCGGGAGGTGGTAAAACTAACTCGGCTGTCTAACTCGGCTCCTGGGCCACGCACTGATTGAACTATGTTTCATTATCGTTTGGGGGAGGGGGCAAACGGGCCACTTTAGGCCTCTGGGAAGGGGGCATGACCCTCAATGCCCCTCCCTGGATCCGCCAGTGTAAGAGACCATTGGAGCTGCAGTTGGGTACCTCAGACATCAGGGTACGCCCTCAGATGTATAGGACTCGAGTGGAGACCTCTTATGCTATAGTGGACTGAAAGGACCCAAAGGAGCCCGTCTAGGGCTCCCGGAGATAGACGTGGGCCCTCAGGAGCCCGCCAGAGCCCCCAATGAGGGATAAGTGAGGGATAACAAGTGCCTGCAATTGCATATTGCATAAGCCATAACGTATCAGTGGCAGATCCAAGGGGGGCCACATGAGTCATGACCCCCTTGGTGCCCGGGGGCACCACAGGCCTGTCAGGGGCACCACCGACCTAGCAGGGGCACCGGGCACCACCAGCCCGCCAGGGGCACCACAGGCCTAGCAAGGGCACCACGGGCCTGTGAGGGGCCCCACAGGCTTGTCAGGGGCACCCCAGGTCTGTCAGGGACACCAGAGACCTGCCAGGGGCACCACCGGCCTCGCAGGGGCACTATGGGTCTGTCAGGGGCACCAGAGGCCTAGCAGGGGTACCATAGGCCTTACAGGGGCACCACCGGCCTTGCAGGGGCACCTTGGGCCTGTCAGGGGCACCATAGTCCTGTCAGGGCCCAGGGGCACCAGCGGCCTAGCAGGGGTATCACAGGCCTGCCAGGGGCACCACCGGTCTAGCAGGGACACCACCGGCCTCGCAGGGGCACCATGGGCCTGTCAGAGGCCCCACCGGCCTCGCAGGGGCACCACCGGCCTCGCAGGCATCACGGCATCACTCAGGGGCACCTTGGGCCTGTCGGGGGCATCACGGGTCTGTTGGGGGCACTTTAGGTTTGTCAGGGGCACCACAGTCCTGTCAGGTCCCAGGGGCATCAGCAGCCTAGCAGGGGCACCCTAGGCCCGCCAGAGGCACCACAGGCCTGCCAGGGTCCAGGGGCACCACGGGCCTGCTGTCAGGGGCACCTCAGGCTCCCGTGCCCCCCCCCCCGGATCCGCCAGTGATGCCACACCACGCGAAACACCGCCAACTACCAGCTGCCGCGCCATAAACACGTGCCAACCAGTCTTTTTTTTTAAGGTGGCGACTCCGCTCGCGCAACTTTTGACTGACCCTCACTGCTACCATATTGCCTCCATATTATGCTGTGGAAAGCTTTTCTTCACCAAGTGGCTAAAAACCTCCATCAAGGTGTATTTTCTTAGCAATTTTTCTGACATTTTGGGGGGGGGGCCAAACAGGCCACTTTAGGCCTTTGGGGGGGGGCCATGGCCCTAAATGCCCCCCCTGGATCCGCCAGTGTTAACACTCAGACCTTGCACAAAATATCTCACCTCACAGTGATCATCACAACAATACCGCCGACTAACTAGTAGATTTCCAGGTATAGTCGACTACAGAATGATGTTCCACTTTTTACAGGCAATTATTTGCCTGGAGTGGTAGGCTGTGCCGCATCACACGGACTGAGTTCACAAATTATAGCTTAGTCCCAATGCTCACAATCGACATGCTTAATTGCGTGATAAACGGCACAACTTAGCGCTCCGGTCCACTGATAGCTTGAAGCTTCTGAGGAGTGGAACATCATTCTGTAGTCGACTATACATACTTGCATCAGCTCTTCTTGCTATTGCAGACGATCATCTCCTCAGGGTAATGTTGTTCGGGACATGAACGAAGATCTTTTTCGGAGTTTCATGAGTGCTACTGCAACGGCCTGGCATAAAACAGGACTTGTACGCTTTTCCCTGCACTTTGCCCTTCAGTATATCACAAAACAATTGTTTAGAATCCATCTTACGCTTCTTTCACAGTCTCCCTTGCCACCGTAGGGCGTAGATAGATTGCTGTTGCTGGTAAGTTAAGGCACGGTAGATAGAAATTACCTCGGTTCTCAACGCCTTCAGTTATTTATATGAAAAAGAACAAAGAAATTATTAATAAGATTAGAGAAATGTTAAAATTTTAATTGTAAATTAGGCCAAATGCGTATTGGAAAGAGCTGTTGCTCTTCAGCATCTTCCGATTCACCATGTTTTTCATTTGAAAATTCGAGGTACACAAAATGTTTACCACGCGCTCAATGTTAAATGGGAACAGTACACGGCAGAGCATCAATTTTTGACACTGAACCTACATCCGTGAATGATTTAGCATAATTTAAAGCTAAAAACAGCGCGGATGGCAGAATGAAACAAACAACCTTTTTCACACATAGAAATAACATGTAATCGGTGGTGCGCCAGATGCGCCATTATTTGTCAACCGCAGAAACTGACATGTGACGTAACAGCATCAAGAGCGTCTTTTTCAAGAACCTTAAAAAACATGTTTTCTATTTGTCATCTCCCATTTCTCTCAGCATATTGATTTTATGAGGAAATCGTATGCACCATAAATTCTGCGAAAACAGTTTGATCATTTTTATACATTCTTAAAAAATCGAGTTCCCAACCCCATTATATTCAATGAAAATTTCAGGAGACATAAATAATATTAATCCTTCGGGCGCACGGAGCATTCGCTAGCATTCCATTGCCAGCTGCATTACCAACATCACATTTGCATTACTTTGGGTTCATCATAGTTGACAGTAGATGAACCGGCCACAGCAAACCCATGCCTCATTATCCTTTCCTCCAAGCAGCCAAGCTAACCGGCCGCCCCGGCCCGGCCCACCAACGCGATATGGAACAACACTGGAGTGCGCCATTTGCCTGCCGCAGTGCTCAACCGCGCCGGGGCTGTTTGACAGGTCACTCGCACCGTGACCTCGACAACCGCCCTCCCCCCCCCCCCCCGCCCACCTCCCCATCGGGCCCAGCTCGGTACTGACCTCCCCTTGAATTTGACATGGACTCGACTGAGGCTCAACGCCATCTAGTAACGTCTGGAGATCCTTACTAGATCCACTGTACAAGGCCCTATCTTCAACATGGAGCGACCGTTAGTGTGACGTCACCTCGTTTAGTCATTTTGATTTAAATGGGTTTGTTTGTTGAAAAATCGCTTAAAACTTGGTCTGAACTTTGTTGTGGTGCCTACAGAGTAAAAAGAATCAGCTTTATGACAGCAATGTGGCCTGGGGAAGGAGGTAATTTTGGGCTGTGACGTCACATATTTGAAAGTTTGTGTTTGGAATATGGGAAGCCTAAGATGTTTAATGAAAAATAAATGCCAGAACCGTGTTCCTGGTCATCCAATCTATAAAGTTGGGCACAATTTAACTGGTTTTAACAACATTTTAGAAGGTGGGATAGTCCCTTTAAGGCAGAATCGAGCGGTATGTCGGCAGCGGTGTCTCAGGGGCGTGGTCCAGTAGACAGACAAATCGAGACGGCTGATTTTGTGGCTAAGTTCAGCGACGGAAAGTGGACAGTTTGGTGGAAATGGGCCGACGGAAAGGAGCCAAAACAACTCAAGAATACTGTGCCGCAATATCGCGTGCCGGCAGAGTCGCAGGAGCGGTTCGACGCAGAGTTGCGGCTGTGGATCGAGGAAGGGTGGCTACGGCCGTATAATGAGCAGGAACACGGGCCGGTGCGTGGCCTAATTCCGCTCATGGCAGTCACCCAGGAAGCCAAGGACAAGGTCAGGCCGGTGCTCGACTATCCGTGAGCTGAATGAGCACCTGGTGGCTCATACGGCTGAAGCTGATGTGTGCCGCGACCAGCTCCGCAAGTGGCGGCAGCACGGCGACGATGTGGCCGTCATCGACCTGAAGAAGGCGTTTCTGCAGCTGCACGTGGCCCAGGAGCTGTGGCCGTTTCAGACGGTAATCGTGGACGGCCAGCGACATTGTCTGACAAGGCGGCTCCAGTGGCGCAGTTGGTAAGGCGTCGGTTCTGTGGTCGGGAGGACCCGGGTTCGATCCCCGGTGCCGCCCGGCTTCCGGACTGGCGTCCCCACCTGTGTCACTGGGGGGTGGGGTGGGCTCCCGCCTTGCACCGTAGCCCTGAGGAGGAGCAGGAGCCCTCCCATAAATGGGAAAACATATCCCGTGTGGAGGACGAGGAATAAATAAAAAAAATAAAAAAAGGGTCGGATTTGGTCTCAGCGTTGCAAGCGGCATCATGCGAGCGGTAGTGCGGGAAGTTTTGGATCAAAGTCCAGAGATCGCAAAAGCAGTGCTCCCGTACGCTGACGACCTGCTCGTTAACGAGACGCTCATCTCTGCTGAGCGGGTGACCGAACATTTTGCCGCATACGGGCTCTCGTGTAGGCCACCGGAACGGGTAACGGATGAGGCCGGAGCCCGGATGCTGGGGCTCCGAGTGAGACGCCAGTCCGGCGGTGACGGCACACTGAGATGGTCTCGAGACGGCGTGACACCAGCTGAGCCACCCGGGGTGCTGACCAGGCGGTCAATCTTCGCCTGGGCGGGTCAGCTAACCTCACACGTGCCCGTCGCCGGGTGGCTGCGGCCGGCCGCCGCCTGGCTGAAAAGGGCGGCGAACAAGGTCACCAAAGATTGGGACTCACCGATCACTGACGATGACCTGCGCAAACAAGTCAGTGATGTGGCCCGGCGGCTGGCAGAGTGTGACCCGGCACGAGGACAGTGGTGCGTCTCAGGAGACTCGGTGACGGTGTGGACTGATGCCAGCTCCATCGCCCGCGGCGTAGTGCTAAGTGACCCCACCACGGGTGAGGTTATCGAAGACGCCGCGTGGCTCCGATCTGACAGTGACTCAGACATGCACATAAACCTATCGGAGCTGGATGCCGCGCTGAACGGTATGAATATGGCGGTGGCGTGGGGATTCAAGCGTGTGATCCTCCGCACAGACTCTGTCACTGTTCAGCGCTGGCTGACCGACGCTCTGACAGGCCGTGCCCGACTGAGAACGAAGGCACAGTCGGAAATGCTGGTTCGGCGGCGGGTGGCCGTTTTCAAGCAGCTCTCCAGCGAGTACGACCTCGTCGTGACAGTGGAGCTCGTGCCGTCGGCTGCCAACCGTGCAGACGAACTCACGAGAGTACCAAAAGAGTGGATCAGAACCGGAAGCGAGCAGCCGACAGGTGTGGTGGCGGCCGTCAGGACAGCTCGACCGGAGGACATAATGGCGGTGCATGAAAGTGTGGGACACCAGGGAGTGCGGCGGACGTGGTGGTATGCGCGCCGAGAGCTGGAAAAGAGCGTGACGAAGTCGGCCGTTCGTCAGATCGTTAGATCGTGCCAGGTGTGTGCGTCGATCGACCCAGCCCCGTCGCGCTGGAAGCATGGTGCCTTGGCGGTCGAGCGCAACTGGGAGCGGCTGGCAATGGACGTAACCCATTTCCGCGGAAAACACTATCTTACCGTGATTGACTGTGGGCCGTCGCGATACGCCATGTGGCGTGAGATCCGCCGCTCTGACGGGAGCGAGATCGTCAGACAACTCGAGGCTCTGTTTTGGGAGCGAGGAGCACCGGCCGAGCTTCTAATGGATAATGCGACCGAATTCAAGGGTCGCGAGCTGAAGGCGTTCGCGGTGCGGTGGGACGTCGAGCTGAGGTATCGCGCGGCCTATGAACCTGGTGGGAATGGCATCATCGAGCGCCACCACCGCACCATCAAAGTGATGGCCGCCCGTCAGGGATGCACCATACCAGAAGCCGTGCACCGCTATAATGTCACGCCCAAGGACGGGCGTGATATTACCACGGCCCCGATACATGGTGCCTACCGTCAGGCTGGCAGAGACTTGTGCGTGTAGTCACAGGGAAACACAGCTGCTCCTCCTCAGACGGCCGGCCAGCCTGGTGTGTATCAGCCCGGTGATGCGGTGTGGGTCCGAAAACGGGGCGATCGGTGCACCGCCGTGTCAAAGGAGGGCACTGTCACCAAAGTCGTATCCGCTCAGACGATTGAAGTAGATGGAGTCCCATGGCACGTGCGGAACATTCGTCATCGTCTTGCCAACAACGGTGACGACGCAATGGCTGCTTCGACGGATGATGAGCAGGAAGAGGAGATCGCCTGTCCGGTTCCGACCGCCCATGTGCCTGGACAGCTGGCCATTGAGGCGCCGGCGGCGGTGGAACCGTCAGAGCTGACCCCAGCTGTCGCGCCGACCGAGCAGACCGAGCCGGTCCCTCGAGCAGCAGCTGAGACGGATGGCGGTGCCGGAACAGAGGAGCGGATCTATACAGTGAAAGTTGTAAAAACAGAAACTGAGGGATTGTCAAACGACCGTGTGAACGAAGGTAGAGCGCCAGCGGAAAGTGTAGATAATATCGATAGTTATAGTGACGTGCTAAGAAGGGGTTTGCGCTGCAGGCGTGCGCCGCAACTCTTCGGCGCTCCCATCCCCCATTAGTTAAATTGTAGTTAGATGTGTTCTTTAGGAACAGGGGGGAATGTGTCTCTCTGTTTGTTCACATAGTTTGTATTCTAGCCTTGTCGCGTAGGGTCGGCGTCGGGTCATAAGTGGTCATAAATGGAGGTCCATGTGCCACACATGTGCGCGGCAGCAGGGACACGCCGGCCCGTATATCGGGCGGCCCGGCTGGACATTGGGAGACGGGCGGGCAGTGGAGAGCAGGGCGGGAGAGAGAGAGGACGGGTCGGTGTGCGCGTTGAGATGTCTGAAGGGTGAAGAAATACAGTCTACGTTAGACGCAAAGTTTGAATGCCACAGTACTGTTTCTAAAAAGGGTGGCAATGGTCTTGTTATGTTACAATTTTCTTATGAGAGAACGACTAAAATTGTATTGGTCATGCATAGGCGGTGTCAGGGCACCTATGTTGGGAGGTAAAAAATAACCCCCCTTTTTGGACGCCTGGATCCGCCTATTATAGCAAAACGTGTCAAAAGAGGATGCACAATAACTTTGTATATGTTATCACATGATACCTTTCATTCACTGTTCGTAAAACTGGTGCAGCATCGTGATCTTCGCCCAACTGACTCGCTTCACGAATAGGACCCCCCAATTCCCAGTGCTCTGGAGCCGCCCCTGGTAAAGATATGAACTTGAAATTTTCAGGGAATGTGCCCAATTTAGTTTTAGGAAAAGTCAGAAAATTTCAGCATCGTAGCTTCAGCGGTTTCGGAGATATTCCCGAAAAACCTGAGGGGTGGATAAAAACAACCCCCCCCCCTGCCACTAATAGGGTTAATAATTAATTGGCTTACAGCATTCTTAAAAACGTTCAAGGAAAGGACACAGCGCCATGCAGGGGGGGGGGGGGGGGAGCGAAGACGGCTGGACGGCTAAGGAACGACTGAGGAGCGATTGGGAGATAAGATGCAGGAGCGGGGGGGGGGGGGGGGGGCGAGACTCGATTCACAGGAGCGGCCCTGTCACGATTGAAACAAACAGTCGTCTCCTCCCCTTCCTCGCGCGGCCGTCTCCCCCTGTTTGGATCACGGGACCACCCTTTCCCGGCCGCACTTGCAAAACAGGGGCTCGTTCACAAGGGTTTTACGTACGTTCCAAAGTAATTTATATTTATAAGCACAAACTTAACGATCAACCTAAACAGTCTATCAGATAAATGTACGAATCTTTGCTAATCGTACAAGCTCGTCAATCAGTCGGCTCGTTGAACGCGGAGGACTTAGGAAAAGGACCAAAGAAAATGAAAGACAATTAAACGTCAATACTCACTTCGTGGTTCAAGCTTTGGCCTCGCTCCACGTGTGGTTGAGATTGAACGTTAAATCGTTTATCTCAAAATCGTTATCGGTTAAATCGTCTACTACTGTGTCATAAGGGAATTAAATTTGAGATAAATTAGTAGGACAATACCTATACTCGTATAATGCATCAAATTATAATAGTGAGTGACATAACAATCAACATAAACAACTAAATAGCATATTACACATAACAATTAACAATCGATAGTTCCACATTTTTTTTTTTTTCTAAAAATACACGCACTTGATAGTGTAACGTTTGAAGAAAATCACCGTTCTAAAGAGTCATAAGCGTTGTGAGGGAAATCATCCTTATGATTATTATCACCATTACCTATGTTTTGACATGTCTACAAATGCGACGCCTGGTATCGGTTGATAAAGATCTGTACTCGAATGAACCGAATTTTGTTATGCATATGTATGTATGTATTGTATGTATTGACACCAAAAGCCTTCCACGTTATTTTGTCATGTATGAAATCTAATTGAGGATTCGGTGACTAAAATATGTTAATAATTAAAAAATAACCGTTCCATTAGACGCGCCTTTGTAGCCCATACGGCTTCACTGATATTGATGCGGATGCCGCGGAACTTTATTCAGTCATCGCACAAAGCGACAGCCGACATCGACCAACCCTATGCATCATTAGTCACTCTGTAGAAAACACACTTCTCTCCTTAATCCTTTCCCCTCTCTCTCTCTCTCTCTCTCTCTCTCTCTCTCTCTCTCTCTCTCTCTCTCTCTCTCTCTCTCTCTCCCTCCCTCCCTCCCTCCCTCCCTGCTCTCTCCCCCGCCGATGAGAGCGGCCCCGGCCGCCGCACCGTAGCGGCGTCAAGTTGGCCAACAGAGAACACGTGTGAGGCGGCTCGTCTCAAATCGACAACGGTCGTCTGTCCGAGACCTGCTGAAACGGTTACTCGGCCATTAATCGTGTGATGCGTCTGGCCGGTGATCAGACCGTCCCGTTCAGCGGGAGCGGGATGCGAGGACGGACCGGGGTCGGGCAAGGGTGCGGGGTCGTCGGACACTCGTAAAAGCGGAGCCGAGCGCCGCGTTGACACCAGTTGACGACTGACAAGTTGGTGTTCAGTATAGTGGCTCTGCCAGCCGCCCGGGTCCGGCGGGGTGATGGGAGAAGCAGCTGGTGGCTGAGAGCCGCCGGTCAGTGAGGGATCAGACGCCGCCGGCCGGCCGGGCGGGGGGGGGGGGGGAGTGTGTCGCGCTCCGATCATTAGATCCCGGCCGGGAGCGGAGCGGCACCCTGACGTCTCCGGCCGGACCAGCTGCGGCCCCATTCGACCCTGTCCGCTCCCACGATCATCGTCCGTGCTTGATGATCCCGCCGGTCGTCAGAGCGGCCCGGCGCGGCCAGCCGCCCGAACAGGTGTCCGCACAGCTGAGGGTTTTACGGCGATTAGCGAGAAAGGCAACTCAGCTATGGACCATGGTCAGCTAAATGTAGCGTTAATTGGTGAGATACCTTATCACGCCAATCTTTCTCACGGTCGCTGCCATAGCCGAAACGTCATGTTAATCTCATAAGGTCACTGAGGTCACGTTAGGTCACTACATTCAAGAAGGTAACGAAATCACATAAAGCGAGTCGATGCGTTTTTGTCTCGATCAGAACAGTAACTTTTTGCTGAGTTATAGGATGGCTACAATAGGCGAAAACTTTAAATACCTATCATCTTAAGGTCAGTGGTCACCGAGGTCATTCGAGGTCACCATACTCGAAAGGCCTATGAAATCGCATACCTACCGCAAATCTACTGGTACCATTTTCGTTTCGATCAGCTCGCTACAGGTCTGCCTATCGGCAGATTCAGAAATTCGCTGGCCCTGCATATGCTGCTCTGGCAGTGGATTCACCGAATGCCCGCCTGCCACTCATGCCAGTAGCAGGCTCGGAAATTCGTCGGCCCCGAGTTTGCTGTTATTATACCGGCAGCGAATTCGTTGCATAGGCGGCGGAACGGGGAGGGCACCGGGGCACCGTGCCCCCCCTTGATTTTGGCATTTTAACATTAGCTCTATGGGCGTTGCATGGAAAGAATGGGACCAAAAGTCGGCAGTGCCCTCGGGAAGGTCGGGAAGGTGCCGTTCCGCCGCTCCTGATTCGTTAAATGACTGTCTACTAGCAGCAGATTCGGGGTGATACCTGTTGCTGCCTATTGGCCGATATCGTAGTCATACCGTGCTCGTAGTCAGGCCGTAGTCATCCCCATTGGGTCCTGCGTGCACGGGTCTCCGTGGCGGCAGAACCAAATGACCTTACCGAGGATGCTCTTCATTTTCAACACTGGCTCGTGCCTCGTAGTGTCATCAATTTATGTGTTTTAACACTAAAAAAACTAGGTAAAATCAAAGAACACGAGCAGTTATTTTTTCTCGTATAAATATTGAAATGCTGTCTGAGAAAAAAATGTCATTTACTTTTTGCAGTGAACTAATGGCTTCTTTGTGAATTTTTTGCTGTGTTTTAGAGGATAATTTATGACAGGCTATAGGACTGGCGCAGATGTTTCAAACGTGATTTTTTGAAATAGCAGTGACGAGTGGCGACAAAGTGCAATAGGGTCAATGCGTGTTTATTTTATTGGAGATTATTCCTATTTACCCTAGATTTCTGATGCTACTTACACAGTAAGGTAGAGTTCATTCGATTTCTTTTATGCACAACTTAATAATATATTTCTCATGCTGTTCCTTCAGCACTGTCGATACAGCTTACACAAAAATACACTCGCTAGATCCGCCAATGAGGCGGCAGAACTAGGAAACAAGCGCACTTTTCACCAATGAGAAACCGAGATGCGTCTGCAACATATGCGGTAGGCATGCTACTGAACAGATCTGCGCGTATCAGTACCTTCTCTGCCCTCTCTCCTGCTCCCTCCCTTCAACCTCAGAATTTGATCTTTGTCTTATTGCCTTGGTCTTATTTGTTAATTTAATCACAGATTTATCCATATTGAGATTTGTCATTGTAATTGTAGAGAAGTTGGTGATTCAGAAGTCTAAATATGATAAAATGTCATATAAGAAAAGTCTGGATTTCTGT